TGTGCAAGATTTTTCTAGGCTCGAAATCAACCACGAACAATTTTAGCATTCTTTTAGCTTGCTACAATTTTTGTATCTTTTTTATGTCATGGGGAAGCAAACAGATGTATAACCAGAGGTTTAAATTATCTTTCAACTTAAATAATAATATAATTTAATTCCTATCTCCTTATATTTCATGAACAGAAATTATAATATTTATTTCAAGAGGGCTGCCATTAATTGAATATTAAAAAGCAAATATCCACAAGGATTTAATACAAAATATAGGCATATACATTGCTGATGGAAATGTAATTTCATTCCACATCTATGGAAATCTGTATGGAGTTCACCAGAAATCCAAAGAAAATAACATGGCAACTATATTACCTACCTGTGTCATTGCTGGATGTACACACAAATTAATGAACGTTAGCATACAAAACCTGCACATCTGTCCAGATCACACCATTATTCACCAGAACCCAGTGGAGCAATCATTCTTGCTACCCATCAGCGGGTGAATTGCTGAAGAAAATGTGGTATATATAAGTGATGAATTTTTCTTTTAGACTTAAGGAACAAAATTATCTCATTTACTAAAAAATAGATGGAACTGGACCTTTACATTTTAAGTGAAACACCCCAACACTTAAAGAGAAATTTGGATTTCTACATTTTACAAAAAGTGAATATGAGAAAGGTGTGGTTTGGGAAGAATAAGGAGAACATCACTGGGAGGAGGATAGATGGAGGTTAATGACTGGTGATGTAAATCCACATGAGATTAAACACATGTGATATAAACCCACCCGTTTGAAAATACCCTAAGGAAAATCATTAATATATAACTAATATATGCTAATAAAATTGAATATAAAATTGCTAAATAATAATCAACAATCTTTAAAGGACCATAAAAATACTTCAGCAATCCAAATATTTCACTGTACATTAATAAATTTAAATTTTAATGAAAACCCTGAAATTAAATGTGTGAAATAAAAATAAAAACACTGGCTTTCCTTCATTTAGGAGGGTGTTTAGACCATGTAATGTATGAATTCTGTTTCAACAGGTAGAAGCAGACAACAGAGGATGCTGACAAACTAATAACATGAGAACTTTGTCAGCAAAATACAGGATTAATTTAGTCATTGAAAACTGTATTCCAAGGCAGTGAAAAAAAGAAAACATTGATAAATTCCAGTGGTTCATCCATGATTTTTACCCACCTTGTGAGCCTTTGAGTTTCTGAATCACAGCAGGAAATGTATTGTTCTAACTAATACAATTTCCCTCACCAGGATTATTTATCATATAAATCATTCTTTCCTTTTTCAAAGTCAATTGTCTATGGTTTAAAAGGCATCCATAAATTGAAATGAAGCCACTGATTCCACAACCAAGCTACCTTACATCAACATCCCTCAATAACATTTGACCACATGCATTTGTCATTCATTCAAGTCCAGGAAATATGGGGTAATGAGGGATGGAGGCCATGGGGTCAAAGTGTCTGTGTTCAGATGTGAGTTTGTTTTGTAACTAGTGAGCATGAAGGTTATGAACTTGTTCTTGACCAAGTAGTTAACTTAGTGATTCTATAAAATTCACCTCCTACAGAAGTCTTTCTCTATGTTGTTAGGAGAGTTTGTGCTTAATTATATTATCATGGATAAAAGCAGTCAAATCTTGTCTTTGAAAGGCATGTCAATTATCATATGGTGATAAATGATAAGGGATAACACAAGGATGCATGAAAAAAAGACGCTGACAGATACAATATTAAAGAATGTAAAGAGTGATGAACTTAATACAAAAGGAATAGAATAGGAGGGAGAAATGATATTATTTCTATGAAAGCTTGGGAAATTAAGAAAATGGGAGAAATGGCAGAAAATATCAGGATGTCAGGAAAAAGATAACTTTAATAGCAAGTCAGATTCACTAAGGTTGAGCTCATAGATGGAAAGAATGAGGAAAATGTTTTGTTTTTAACTTAAATATTTAAAAAAATTATGCACTTTAAGGTTATATGCTCTATTAATCCCTATTCATCTTGAGTTCGATATCACTGTTTCCATGTAAGAAGGAAAAATAACCCATCGGTAAGAGCAAAGCAGTGTAAGTATTTACACATGAAATAATAGGTCCTTGATTTGTGATGTTGATAGAGAAAATGCTGAGCATACAGTCCTAATTTATGCTATGTCTAGAATATGCATGTAATATATTTTATTTTTTGTATATATTTTTATTGTAAAATACTGTACAGAAGGGTTAAAGTTACATGACTAATATAATAATTACATTTCTTATCAAGCATTGTTACCTCCTCCTTTGTTTTTCCCCTACCCATCTCTTCCCTCCCCACCTTCTCAACCCTTCCCTCCACACCCCCCCCAAAGTGTAAAATTCATTTGTAACATAGTGTCTTGTACATCTCATTGTTGCATGTAATGGGTCAACCTGTATCCCTATTTAAACAATGTGTTTTTCCCTTCCCTTCCCCAAATTATACCAACATTAAATACAGTGAATACAAGGATTATACAATGGGGGAAGGACATACAGAGAAACAAAAAAAATCACATGCTACCTTATAAATACATTAGAAACAATAGCAACAAAGAAAAAAACCACTTGTGTCCCTATCTTGGTTTAAACATTTCACTTAATATCATCTTACCTGACCTTTTCTGCCTGTCCAGACATTTACTAGCTATTGCAAATAAAGGAAACCATGGAAGCTATGTTTTTTGGGCCTGGATTACTGTCATCTTGTATACACAATTAATATTTTGTGTGCATGTGTGCATGCATGTATGCGATTGTGTGCATCTTCATTTCTTTGGACATTGCCTGAAAATAGTGGGTGTTGAGGAAGTATATTAGTATTTTAATCCCTGTATTAATAATTTTAAAGCAAATATAGATAGATATTCCTATATCTATAGTGCATCTGATATCATGTATCGTGGAATTTATTAAAAACAAGGGTTCTTTTGCACATTCTATTGAATACCACCAAAAGAATATATTTAAAATTGTTTTTGACAGTAACTGAATCAAATATGATTATTTTAGACAGGAACTCCTCATATGTCAAGCAGAAGTTTACTGGTGAAATTATAACACAAATCTAAATAGTTTATCATTTTTACATTAGCTGAAAGTTATAATAATTTAATGAGGTGAATTAAATGATTTTGTATATAGAACATAAGGAATCTAAAGCAACCTTAACTCAATTAAATATGCATACTCCTCCAATTTAAAAGCTATGTATAATAACATAAGATGTGGGTAGCATTTATCCCAGAAATAGCATAGAAAAAAACTATTTAAAATTACAAAAATAAAATAAATGAAAGTAAAATAAAACCATATTTACAAAAATGACTAGAAATATGAAGAAACCATGAACATACGAAATTGAGGCAAACATTTCTGTATTAAAAATATGTCAAGAATATCAGTAACAATGTTTGCTACATATTAATCTTAATTTCAAACAAAATACTTGGGAACACCAACAAATGTTGATATTATGTTAGTATAGTTATCAAAATGTGTAAAATTCTTTTGCATTGAATTAATAAAGGATAAGAAAGTTTTATGTGTAAAAGTCAAATAGAGTTTTACAGAAAAACATCCTTAATCAAATTCCAGTAAGAATTTAAAAATCATATTAATTGAATTACAACTATTAAATGAGTGCCAAAAATTATAAACAATAATAAATAGAAAATACAACTGCAATATCAAAACCCATTAATATCAGAGAAAATTGTAATCACAATTCTAGAATATTCAGATAACAATTTAGAAAATGAAGAAAATTTGTCTGATCAGATTTTAGGGGATATCACAAAATCTAAATTCATTATCAAGTATTAACATTGTAACTATTCTTTATTTAAAAACGATGATGATTGAATCAAGTATTCAATTCAAATATTTATTTATTAAGAATATTCCAGACCTAAAGGAAATCATTCCATGCAACTGTGCTCTTCCCATATACACGTGACCTGTCATAGGAAGCCATGGTCTTCAGCTGTTAAGCAGGTGCCACATGAGAAAACTCACTGGATACAGATTTGGAAATTGGAAAATTTATAATACATTAAGCCCAAAGCACCTCACAGATTTCACTGAAAATTTCATTACATATATACCAGTAGCAAGAGTGTGCAACAGGAAATTACACAAATTCCATTTAAATCTTGTATATGTATACATTCACAGATAAATGCACACAAGAATATAGGAAAAGAAATGAAAAAGAATGCACACAAATATAATATTCCTCTTCAATAAGCTACAAGAGTATCCTCAAAATTGTCTTCAACATTAGAATGTCATTTGTACAATAATATAAAACAATAGTTTAACATAAATTTAGGAAAGCCTCAAAAATTTCATTGCTGCTGTAGCTAAGTTGCGGAATTGAAGAAAATAAAATTGTTATTTAAAAAGCAGTAGATATTGTTTACAATTCAGCAATATGCCTTGCAATCAAAGATGAAGACAAACAAGATTATAATTACAAATATTTTTGTCTTTCACCTGAATACATGTACCACAAATTAAGATTTATCTCTTGTAAATGAGAAAGTTGGGTCTTAAAAATCCAGTGAATTCTTAGGACTTGTACATATAAAATATTATTTTATACTACAAAAAATGATTATTAAACTGCTATCATTAAACATATAAATAACTCCTTGTGAATATGTTTATGTTTAAATTATAGTTTGAAATCATAGCATATTTTCTAACACATTTGTAAGAATTAATAACGAATTTGGTGCTTTGTATACTACCTGCTATAAAAAATACGACATTCAGGAATTACTATTCCAGTATGAAATTTGAATAATGAAGTTCTGGAAATATCCATTCTGTAAAGAGAAATGAAGGGTGATGGACAATAAACCCATGAATGAATAAACTTTTTTTTATCTGAAAGACCAGAAAAGATGAATTTCAATACATCACAAACTGTCATTTTATTGCCTGGAGCCTGAACTCTTCTGCATGATTCGAAAGAAAGCATTTTTCACTTGCTTGTTCCTAAGACTATAAATGAGTGGGTTGAGCATGGGGATCACAATCGTGTAAAACACAGAAGCCACTTGATCCTTGCCCAGGGAGTAGGACTTCTTGGGTTTTAAATAAGTGAAGATCAAAGTACCATAAAAAATGGTGACCCCCAGCAGGTGGGAGGCACAGGTGGAGAAGGCTTTCTGCTTTCCTGAAGTGGACTTAATTTTCAGAATAGTTGACAGAATGGACACATAGGACATAGTTATTGTGATAAGAGACATCATTAGAGTAGAACCGGCAAGAACAAATACCATCACTTCAATTCCATAGGTATCATTGCAGGACACAGCTAACATTGGAGATGTGTCACAGAAAAAGTGGTGGATGATATTGGATTTGCAGAAAGTCAATCCACTCATGCAAATGACATTGACAGAAGAATCTAGAATGCCAGTCATATAGGACCCAGCCAGGAGAGTCCAACAGAGTCTGGAGGACATTATTACAGGGTACTGTAGAGGATTGCAGATAGCCACATAGCGATCATAGCCCATGGCAGAGAGGAGAAAGATTTCAGCACCAGCAAACAGAACAAAAAAGTACAACTGGGTGAAGCAGCCCACGAAGGAAATGTTCTTGGTGGAAGTCAATAGGTTCGCTAAGGTTTTTGGTGTGATGACACTTGAGTAGCTGAGGTCAATGAATGAGAGGTGAGTCAGGAAAAAATACATAGGTGTGTGAAGCTGGTGATCCAGATAAATGATCATGATCATACCTAGGTTTCCCAGCACAGTGATAAGGTAGATCAGGAGAAAGAGTGAAGAAAGGGCCAGCTGGATCTCTCTATAATCTGTCAACCCCATGAGGATGAAGTCAGGATTCTTTGTGTTATTCCAGGCTTTCATTGTGTGCTGACATTTGAAAAATTAAAGGTGATACTTAGCCTAAATTACTTAAAAATTATCATTTACATGAATGTCCCAATAACTGTATAAATAAACTAGAGTAATAAAATTTAATAGTGTATTTATACAAAAGCAAACAACTATAAAAATCTGCCAAGTGATCTGTATTTAAAAAAGATAATTTTCTTCATAATTATAACAGATTTGATTATTTGATAAACCATTTTACTAACATATTTAGACTGGAATTACTGTGACATTTATAAGTGTTAATATTTATCAAGAACTTTGAGTTAAGAAGTATAGTGTCAGGTGTTTATTTTACTTATATCAATGCAATGCCAAGATGTATGGACATATTTTGTTATAGTTCTTTGATTTCAAAACATATAATGCTGTATAATTATTTGATTGCAGCTAATCAAAATGCTATATGTGTAATAAGTATAGATAGAAAACTACTGGATTTATTTTGCGTTGGCCATATCAATTAAGACCTTTTGAACAAATTGAACTTTTAGTAGACTTTTGTAGGTAGAAATAGGTAGCATTATAGACTATTAGTCCTATTTCACAGCTATGTGATTTTTTTTCCTTGAGTGGTTGCCACAAGCAAAATTGAGTTTCTTCAAGAATCAAAACCTATAGACAGTGGTAATAGACTCTGAATCCTTAACTCCACATATTAATAAAGAGAGACAGATGGATATATATATATATATTCTCATGTGATATTAAATCCTCGGGACCTTTTTTAAGATAATTCAATTTAAATTTATTAAGTAAAATCATGAGGAATCCAGATAGAACCCTTAGAAAGTTGTAAATTCCAATAGGAAAAATATGCATCATTAATAAGCATTGCCTGCAGAATTTTTTTAATTATGGACTTCTTTTTACATTCACAGACTTGTTTACATAAGTTAGCTATAAAAGTGCAAGGTGAAATACTTACTCTTGATTGGTGGAAGGAAACTTGGAGAGAGAAAGCTAAGGTATTTGTCATACCTTAGGCTTTTTTTTTTTAACAAATGAAATTGCAAAGCCCATAAGATGCTAACACTTTCTGTAATATAATGTTTTCCTTTCTATAGTCATTTTTATTATTTTTTGCATTCATTATTTTTAGTTTAAAAATTTGAGTCACAATTAATTTTAATACTACTGCTCAAATGAAAATGTTTCCAGGAAGGATTTTCTCACAAGAAATGGCAACTAGTGGTTGTGAACATCAGAAGGGTGGTGCGTTCTTCGTCTCTCAGTCTCATATATCCAGGTGCTCATTTATGGGTGATCATTTAATCAGCATAGGGATTGTGCAATTGTCATCCTCAGTGACCAATTTCTAAGGGTATTTCTTGGCACATTTTCAAGGACAAAAATTCAACGAGAAGACGTTCAGCTTTTTCTTTTCTTTTTTTTTAATTTTATTTTATTTGTGAACATACTGTACAGAGGGGTTACAATTACATGGGCAAGATAACGCATGCATTTCTTACCAAGCATTGCAGCCTCCTCCATTGTTTACCCTTCACCTCCCTTCCCAGCCTTTTCATATAGAAATTCCACAGTGAGCAACCGAATAACAAGGTGGTTTTGATGTAATACTTTAAGATACTATCTATTTTAGTTTATAGGTATAAATTTATAAATTATTTAATATAGCATACCTGTCAAATCAAGAAATTTCCGAACAATGTGGAAAAAATATTAGAGAATTAGTTTCCTGTGAATGACGTTTCAAAATGGATATGTGTTATATTTAAACATATAATTCTATCATAAATAAAATGCTTCCTTCTATAGCAGTAGAATATACCTATAGTTAAAGAAATTAGAGTAATAAATTACAGCTCAATAATGTTCAGTGATCTTCCTTAACCACATAATACTTATTAAAACATGTACTTGTACATATGAATAATTATAATTAATCCATATCACAGACAGATTATGATAAAATAATATAATAGACCTGGTAAATTTTATCTAGTATTTTATTGTTAGTGTTCCTTTTTTTCTTTATAAATGTAAAATTAGTGCAGGAAGACATGATAAAATTGAAAAATTTTATCAAAAATTTATTGAATTGAAAACTGACCCTGAATGGAAGGCCCAGCTCACACTTCCCTCTTTATATGACAGGCTAACTATTTTAATAAATATGAGTTAAAAGGATAATGAAGTTGAATAATTTCACTCATGATTATTTTCCAAAAATGAGGATGCACAGGGGGAATCTGAAAGGAATATAGTAAAAATCACAAAAAGATCCTAGGACACTTGTATTAAATTATCTTATAATTAATTTATCTTCAAATATACACAAAAAATATTCTATGCAAGTGTGTTTGTTTCCTAGATTTTTTGGAGACAATTTGTTGGTATGAATAAAGAGCTATCTTTAAGCTGAACACTCCAGGCTTATGCTTCTAATCCCAGCTCCTCAGTAGACTAATATTTTAGGATCAAGGTTTGAAACAAGCCCAGGCAGAAAAGTCCATGAGATTCTTATGCCCAAATAATCAGCTGAACTCTGGAAAAGGAGGTAAGGGTCAAATATATCACTTGAGCAAACAATTCCAGTCTGATTTAGTCAAGTTAATATTAGAGAACAATGTTGAGTAAAGGAAAATGTTGCTATTAATGGAAGGTCAATATGTCTGGCAGCAAATGTAAGGTTTTTTTTTTTCTATTCGTAACTAATCGTAAAACCAAATGTTGCAAAAGCAAGCAGAGCCTGAAAAGAGACCCTCAGTATAAAATTAAGAAAAGCTTTTAATAAGTAGATATGAATCAAAATGGTTTATCAGTAACCATATGCAACTACTAACACATTATTCCCAATGTCAAAAAATAAATCTCAATACAACAAATACACATTATCAACATACAGAAATATCAAAATAAACCCGAGGCAACTTATTTTAGGCATTATTAGAGGATGAAGCAAATTGTGATATAGATCAGGAAAAACAGCTTTCAAATGAAATACTAAAATATCTAATAAATTAGTAATGGTTAAAAATTTTAATTGTTGAAATAGACAGTTTGCTCTCTATTTTACTTATTTTTAACGTTTTTATGGTAATACTGGGGCTTGAACTCAGGATCTTACATTTATGTGCCAGAAAGTGATTTATTTTACAATAATCAGAAATGATCATAAAGTATTTAGGAGGAAACTACCATGAAATTTTACACAAAAAACTTAATAAATTTCTGCAATAATTTATAAAAATTGATTTTATTTAAACAATCTGTGTAATAATTGTTACAAATTTACAATAACAATAGCTACAAAATAAAACCATGCCTCCAAAAACTAACTTTTAAAATCAGAGATAATTAAAAATACAGTAACAGAAAAGTCAATCATTGAAAATAAAAAAATAGACTGCTACCTGATCAAAGTTTATGGAATACCATATGATCAAAATTCATTTTCAAATATTTGCCTTCTAACTTCCTCTATTTAAAAAATGTTTTAAAAATGTGAATCAAGCATTTAAATTCAAACATTTTTAATGAGTTTCCAAAGCTGGTGGAATCACATAAGTGAAATGGAGAAGGCATAGTCTTCAAATATTTTACATGTTTCCACATAACAGATGTTACTGTGTATAAGTTTTTCAACTCAATAAAGTTACAATAATCCAGGCCAAAAGCAGTACAAAATATATTTTGAATTTTCTGAAAACATCTTACAGCTACCTTTTCATAGCTGCCTTTGTCAAAGTAACCCTCTTTGAATGAATAAAGAAAATTGAAGAAGAGAGCATCCAAATTCCATTTAAATACATCATATGTATGCAAATAACCATAGTTAACCTTGAGGAGAATGTATCCAGAAGTGCAGTATTTCTCTTTAATCAATTTGAATAAAACTTTCCAAATGACCCTCACTACTAGCATTATTTTCCTATATCATAACTCTAGTAGTTTGCTTTCTTCCAAACAGCAATTTGTAAAATGTTGATATTTCCCCTTTCTGCATGTTTTGTTTGTGAACTAAACCGACTGAAACAGCAGTGAATATTCTTGTGAGAAAGTCTTACAATACAATGACAGAAATCGTCTTTGTAAATACATTTGCTATATGCTTTTAGCTTGGAGATAATTTCAAGACTATTTAAGATCCTGTGCACTTGAAATATGATTTATCTTGTGGAAATGAGAAAACTAAGACTTCAAATTCACTGCCTTCTTAAAGGGTGTAGTAAAGGAAGTGAGTACTGAATCTTTTTTATCACTGAGTCTGTTGTTAAGGTTAAATACTGGTTTTCATAGCATAATAAATTAACATAATAAGTTTTTATGGCACACTTTAAAAATGATATCCAAATTTTATCTTTCACACAGTATCTGCTCCTCCAATACATACTTATCACATCTCATTATAAACTGAACTTCTGAGAATGTAGTCCTGGGAATGCCCTGAGAAATGTATGAAAAAATGAACATATACAAATGATTCAGTTCTTCTTTTCAGAAAAACCAGAAACGATGAGTTTGACATGTCACACCACTGTCATCTTGGTTGCCCAGGGCCCCCTATTTTCTGCATGACACAAAAGAAAGCATTTTTCACATCCTTGTTCCTAAGGCTATAAATGAGTGGGTTGAGCATGGGGATCACAATCGTGTAAAACACAGAAGCCACTTGATCCTTGCCCAGGGAGAAGGACTTCTTGGGTTTTAAGTAAGTGAAGATCATAGTGCCATAGAAAATGGTGACTCCCAGCAGGTGAGAGGCACAGGTGGAGAAGGCTTTCTGCTTTCCTGAAGTGGACTTAATTTTCAGAATAGTCAACAGAATGGACACATACGACACAGATATTGTGATAAGGGAGACCATTAGGGTAAAACCAGCAAAAATGAATATTACAATTTGAACCTCATATGTATCAGTGCAGGACAGTGCTAAAATTGGGGACGTGTCACAGAAAAAATGTGAGATTACATTGGAGTTACAAAACTTTAATCTGCTCATAGAAACA